AAARSMAARTAACACAAATTTCATTCAAYGAGAAAAAAAGTTATTTTGTAACTTCTGAGCAATACAGATAATGGTGGATGAAACTATAAATGATCAAATAATGTCCCTWCACATTAATTCAAGACTGAAATGAGTATTTTGTAACACACAGGGTGTTACAGTCTTTCCACACCTGAGATGAAATCTCTTACCACACGTCTCAATCAAAAAAAGGCTTTATTTTTTACTGAAATTATGCTACTTCATAATATCAAGAATGAAAACATACAATGAAATGTCACTCCTATGACATTATGTTTTAAAGTACCTTTGTCCTGGCTTTTGATTAAACAAAAATAACAGGTTCAAAAYGTACAGGCTAATAACCATTAATCAYCATYAACCTGGAGTCTGGTGTCKGTCAGGAATACACTTTTTATGTCTGTGTATCCTAGCATAAAGTACAATTTGATACCATAATGAGTATGGCACATGATGTGCTGTACTGTGCTATCGTGTGATTCCAAGAATGCCACAGAACTGAGTATCTGCTTTGAAAGCTAATTTCATAATGCAGTTTCTCACAAACAACAGTGTTTACTGTGCATTTATGAAAAACTATGGCAATCATTATTATTTCACACTTTCTTACAGATCAATAAGTAAAAACAATGTTTATTGGAAAAAACAATAGAAAGAGGAAAACAAAATATAATTTACACACCAATTGCCTTTTTTGGCTATGATGGACTAAAAGTACAAAAGTACTCCGTCTCCCATTTCCAGGGCAATCACGGCACATGCTAGCTCTAAACACCTGGTGAGATCAACAGCCACTAAAATGAATACCTCCAGAAACTGAAGGTTTCCAAATCATAATTCTCCACAATTCAACAAACAATAGTACACAAAATCATTGTGAAGTGAGCGCAAAAATGGACCCTGATTCATACCCAGCCCATACTTTCAAGATCATGGTAGTCCCTGATTGCAGCATCTCACATACGTGCATATTTTTTGAACTACCAACTGAACAAATATAGCATCTTAAAAAAAAAATAAAACCCAGAAAAAAGCATCTCACCCATTGCAAAATTTGGTTATAAGCCCAGACAAAATTTCCACTCTTCAGTACAAGGAGCAAAACTTTACCAGAGGTGTAGTCTCTAATACTTACTGAACCAAAAGTTTCTCTAGCTTTTTAAAGCTTTTTTGCTGATAACCAACTATTTTAGGTATAACAACTACTTGTACCTAATAAAATACTTTCTGTGCCTAGAGCATGACTTGGTTTGGTCAGAAAAGAATACCTGGATGCTGGTCAAACCTACAATAGCTGTACTCTCTACAAATTTCCTTTTCCAGTTCTCCAGCATGAAGATGAAATGGTTTTCCAATAAGAAAAATACACCGGCCTATGCAAACCACTCATTCAGAAACAGACAAATGAATTACTTACAATTTTTTTACTCCTGAAGCTAGAGCTGCTACAGCTTAGAATACATTTAATTAGAATTGATACTAAAACATGCTCAGGTAAAGGACAAATGATACGTGCAAAAAGAGGAAAAGAGAAGGGAAAAGAAGAAGATAGTATTCTATGACTTTTGACATTTCTCAGCATAATTGAAGAAWACACACACCCCTGGTTCCACACAGCCTGACCTGCACCAGCAAATGCAAGCATATTTAATAGTGCATATGAACACCAGYAGACACAAATAGCTCATAAATCTTGAGGCAGCTTTTGGAAAAACCAGCTTCAAGGAATGACAAAGATGTCATTTATATCTTTCTATGCCAACATTTGTATTAAAAATATTTTTTGGACTGGAGTGCGCAGAGTGTCCTGACTCTCCTCTTTAGAGAAAAAAAGTTGGGATTTTAGTAGCCAGCACATCTTGGTGAGTCTCAAACTGCAGACCATATATGCTCTGGCAGGTATTCCTTACCTTCCTCAAAAGCTTTGAATTTGTTCAGGCCTTCAGCCCTCAAGTATTCCTGCGAAGTCAACTAAGACTAAGGATTTATTCCTTCCACTTTACAAGCAGCACAAGTTAGTCAATGAACTTCCTCAGTTTTAAGGTAGTTCTGGAGAAGAGATCATAGACTGCACAAGTGCTCACAGCTAAGGTCTGGCTATCATCATCTAAGACCAGGAAAATTCTCACTCTCACCTAGGTCATCCAAAAATTTACACTTCTACAGAAGTCTGTGCCCTGAGAAGTCAAGCATTTTTTCTCTTTTTCAGACAGGAGTAATCTTACAATGCTTTCAGAGCTCCCACTGCATTGCCATTCCTAATGCCATTCTCAGGAACACCACACTCTATGAAAGGATAGTCTGTGGAAGTTTCAGAAAGACAAAAATGGCAAAAAAAAAAGGACAGAGGAACTGCTGCCTACTGAGCACAACCCACTCGGCTTGTGTACTTTGTGATTTACAGAGAGTAGTATGAAAAAGGTTCAAAGAGCTCAAATAAAGAATAGGCATGTGCATGAAGACTTAGGACAGTCACMCATTGACAATCAATATATCACTACAGAAAAGATACAATCTTTCATGTAATGTATCAATCAGAACCCGAAGGAGACAGCAATTGCCTTACTTCATCCACAGTTTGAGCACTTCCCAGAAAAAACTGACATTTGTCAGTCTTAAATACAGCATGCAGTGTTCCCATATCCAATGTGATCAAAAACTGTCACACTACTGAGTACATTTTGGATTCTGATGCCCAACCCTTCCAGCTGGACTAGAAAGTATGAGACTGGGATTTCTGCTGTCACAAAACCAGTCCAGAAATAGTATTTCATAGTTTTCTGATGAATATTCCACCCATATTCTCAGTTTCTTTAAATCAAAGCAGAAGAAAAAAAAAGTTCTTGGTATTGACAGACCACATAAATTTATTCATGAAACCAAACATGTTAAAAWATGGATAAAAAAGGAAGCTGGTAGACAAACAGGAAAGAAGAAAAACAAAATAAAGTACATGGAGACAGAAGTTCATRGGAGTAACAAGACTACACAAATACTTCCTAAATTAAAATTTTAATATGTGTAATCAACCACTTATGGTTGAATTCAATGACTGGAGCTCTTTTCTAACCTTMAWGATTCTATRACCACGTGGAACAGAAAAGAGATTAATCAATCTCTCTGATATACTTCWAATCAATTTATACAGCCTTTTCAAACAAGAAAAATTCCTACATTTAAATGAAGTTATATCTACAATTAATTTCCTTGMACTACTAGAACCAACATATTTTCAAACTTTTAAAGAATTTTATGTAAAGTACTTTCTTTACTTCAGTACTGCTATGCAAGCACCAAYAGTAAAATACATACACTACGTGGACTCTGGGGAAAAAAACAAACAAAAACACAAACACYACTAGAGCTAACTCATGATAAAATTAGTATCCTCATTTATTATTCCACTGCATCAACAACAAAAAAAACCCCAAACCAAACTCAAGAGATTYGGTTTCAAGAGAAGTTTCAAGAGAAGACAGATAACAGCACAGAACACTTAGCTTTTCATCCTCTTCCTCTCTCTTTCTTCTTGACAAGCACAACAAACTTTTGCTGGCTACTAGGGCATATGGTCAGCCAGCCATGGCCTTTGTATGTCAAACTGGGGTACTTAGAGTCAAAAGATGTGGTAAGACCAAAGCACTATTTGATTAGATCAGGTAGTTCTGYGAATGCCCTTCAGTCAGTGGCAGCACCTCACCACACACCCCTCTCAAATGCGAGACTGGTTCAAGCCACAGGCACTCTGAGCATTTGCTGCAACACTAAACGAACATTTGCTGCCTTTGCCAGAGTGCAGCACTCTGAAGAGCAGAGACAATCTTGTCTCTGYCCAAGTCTAAAGGTCTGCCCAGCAAGTAAAGGCTTCTTTTCACTATGTGAAGTTTATTTCAGGAGAGGTGAAGATAATGGTTTTGTCTCTTAATTCTTACTGCAGTCAGGGTACCAGCYTCCATAAACAGCTACACCCCACTGACATACTGGCCTGCACATGGTATTCAGCAATCATACTCCACAATCTCATTATAGAAGAAATTWGAGGAAAGAAAATACTCATCTACAGACTCTGAGCACACTTGCAACTGCCATGCTGCCAGGGGATCTGAAAGGAGTTTATTCACAACTGTTTTCTGTGCTAARGACAGAATAAAAAGTAGCAAGCATAAAAAGAAGACAGTGTGCAGAAGTCCAGCTATAAGATATTTTACCTGCACCACAACTGAAAACTTAGCTGGACGGAAGAAGCTTATTTAACAATACAAAAATATTATGGCAGTTTCAAGAAAAAAKCTCTGTGAGTTTTGTAAGAGATTAAACAGGAAAACAAACTTTTAGCCTATTACAAAATATTTCCACTTTCAGATGTTGATTGCAWCTTCTCATTTCTCCTCTGTAACGTTTCTTGGTCAAGGAGGACTAAAAACCTATAAGAAAACTGCTAGAACCTTCTAAGTTCAAGAACTGGAGATTCAAAGCAAGAATAACTGGTAAAAAAACTGTGTGTCAATATACAGATTCTTGAGAAGTAAAAGTGCAGTAACTATGCAAATACCTAACATCCAGCCAYGGAAGCAGACAGACTTACATTCAGGCACACCTGAATTATGTAAATGAAATCTCAGTTAATGCAGGAGATTCACAAGCAATGCAAGGAACTTACAGAGAAAACTACAATCCTGACCAATACCCTGTAAAGCACCTTTGCACCCTTAATGATCAAGATAATGATTGAGCATAAACATGCTTTTCTTACCTCATAAGGCAGTTTATCAAAATATCCATTAGTTGGCCATTCCCTGAGGGTAACAATGCTGAACTGTTTATTAAGGGTGTCCATTCCACAGCCAAACTTTTCTTCATCTTCATCTTCATCTATATCATTCATATCAATCATTGAAGTCTTAAGTGAAAGCACAGGCCTCTCTTTCACACCATGTAGCACTACTGCATCCAATTCAGTGTAATAATCCAGAAGAGAGCTGTTCACTTCCAGTCGGATTAAGTTTGTGGGAAAGTTTATCTGTTTGATACAAGGTGTGAACTGCCGAGCCTGAGGACCATTCACCTTTGTAGGTGCTTCCGACCAAAGTACTTCCCATCTGTGAAAAAAAAAAATAAATGAGACACATACGTACAGTACAGGGATTAAAATCAAAGTTATCAAAGCAATTCCTAAGCACAGAAAGAGGGCGGCATCTTCTGTCACAAGTATTTAAAGATTGAGAAACATGGCTGAAACAATGATTTAGGAAATCTGTGTTCTCCCTACATTTGATAAATATCCTGTGGCTGAATTTAACAGGCCACACTAACTCATGACCTTAGCGTATTTTTTCTGCACCATTAAATAACAAAACAAGCTGTACTCTCAGTCACTTGTGTTACTGCTACTCATGCACAAGTTCTCCTCACCTTCACAGGTAAGGTGATCATAACTAATGGATTACTGATGCCTTCACAATGATGGCATGTTAGTATAAGTACATAAGGAACAGTCTTGACATGTAACCCAAACATACAATCATCTGACCTCTCATTTCCTACAAAAAACAAAGAACCCCACCACTCAGACTCTTTAACATCAAGCCTGTCCAAATTACAGCATTACAAGTTACTAAAAAAATAATAAAACTTATTTATCTGCCTAGGCAAGCAAAATGTTCCTTTTAGAAGTCATTCACTGACAAATTGGCAAAGAAAGTATAATCTTCAAGTTAATTCTGAAGGGTCMTTTGCAAAAGATGTCAGAATTTTCAAACTGCTGAAAAGCCTTTCTACTCTTTGGTTCATTGACAGGAGGAAGTCCAGGGCATGCACAGAACTACCATACATACATCCTTACTTTCACACACGGACCTCAAATCTCCTCCAGTGACAGGGAAATCTGCTGCCAACCGAGTAAAGCAAAAGAACAAAGTCTTACATCCCTTAGATTTTCAGCACTCTCAAACTTACCAAAAGGCCTGAAACCAAGCATGCTGTTTATATCTGCATGGGTCCTCATTCAGTGAACGAAGATCCTTCAGTCACTGATGCCCATGTTTTTCCACCCTCAAGTCTCRTTAATTCCTAAGGAAGAAAGCCTCCACTACTGCTATTCCCTTTGACAGTATGCTTACCTCGATACAAGTTGAGACACTTCCACATGAACTCCATCTCTTCCTGCTCACCCTAGTTCCAGCTTCAAGCACATCTCTAAGACTGCTTGTCTGTCACATGAATATCAGAAGCACTCTATCTGCTCTCCAGTACCTCAGCATTTTGGCTTTCCCTACATTTTGGCTTTCCCTACCGGACACCACTACTTTGACTTTACAAGCACTGCTCAACACTGATATATACTCCAGATACTTGTGGGGGTAAGAGGGGAAATATTAATTAAAAATGAAATCAATCTTACTTTCAGAACCAAATATTTGAACTTTTCCATCATAACAGAAAGCAAAACAAATGTAGGGATTTTCATTCAGACACAACACATAGCATAAGTAACTTAGAACCTATCCTACACCATGCTGCTCTCCAGGTACCTTATGGTAGAATGGAAGACTTGCAGAACTCTTACGTTGAAAGGAAAAAAAAGAAGCCATGAAATAAAAACAAACATACAAGACTAGTGAACATATGGTACATCAAAGTACTATCATAGGAGAGTGGACACTCTACCCTAAAATTAACAGTTTTCATAAGAGAGACACAGTACAAAGAAAAGATCTGATTAATTTACAAAATTRATGTCAACTCATGGCAAAGTAACAGCTGTAGTCCCACTGTCACACCCTCTCACATAGGTCGATTCTCTAAGCAAATACTTAATGCTGGCAATGCACATGACCTTCTTTGAATACATYCAGATCACCATCTGACATTTTGCTTAGTCACTTCCATATACCCACTCAAAGTATCCTTAGGGAAATACAAGGCTTTTTTTTCACTAATCTAATACACACTGGACCATCAACTTTTAGCAGTATRTGTCTGTTATTGACCTCTCCTTTTGCACCCTGGAGAGAGAATTATCTAGCAGCAGCAGAGCTCTGGAAAAAAAGAATGCATCTGGAGATCTGGGTTCATTAAATTGCAGTGCAATAACTAACTCCAGCAAGGAGTACCCAGTTTCCAGTTTTGTAATAAGCTAGAGAAAATGGAAGACATGGAGCATGACTTTACTATCTTGTGGAAACTCCACAGCACATACCAAATGCTGATGAACAACAAAATTGGTGACAATTTTTACTTTTCATCAACAGCCCACCAATCTAACTTCAAAAGAGTCAGCTCTTGGTTTATCTGGAAAACCTCAAGTCTACCAGGCTGATTCGATGACGTTCTCTGCCTTGGTAGCACCGCACACAAGAACAAGCAACAGCAATTGCTCTGAGCCAGGGCTAATAAATTCTTCCCATGTGTAGACATGCTCTTAACCCATTACCACAAGTGGAAGTGATCTCTTYCTCTAGGATCACTACTGTGATACTTAGGGGCTTTATGTAATCAAAATGGGAGTGAAGAATTCACAGTGGGATCAAAGAAGTCTAAATTTCTAAGAGGCTTCACTAAGAACTGCATGTCTTCTGTTCTGGAACATTCTTTTGTTATGGTGATCCATTTAAAAATCTTTCACAAGAAAGGCATTTTTACAGTCAGTTCTGGTTTGAGGATATGTATCAAAATCAGGTTGCCTGATAAGATTGCTGGCATTTGTTGCAAGCTTAACATGCTCATTAAACTATTTAACCCAAAACAGAAAGAAACTGAATCCCAATAAATACCTTTAAAGAAGTCAAAGGAATTCTGCCTGCCCCATGGCCCAAGTTAATTAGGCAGCTCTCAAAAAAATCAAGTAGAATCAAATGAATGCAGGTAGTACACTGTTTGTTCTCCAGTCTTGCAGATAGACAGTAACAGCTGATCAAAGATGTTACAATGAAAATACTTTGATAAGAAGGTTTCACCAGCAATGAGCTAGAAAGCCTCAGTCTTTTCTAGAAAGCCTAGCAAGGAGTGCCCTGCAGAGCCTGAATAAGAGTCACCAAATCTGTATTATTTTCTCTAGYGATTGAAGAAAAGGGGGACATAGAGTTTCTCCATTCAGCCTTGATGGACTCCGTTTTCCTATTAAATTTCTCTCCGTCTCATGAAGACAGACAGGAACTCAATTTTCTCTGACACCAAAGACTCCATACACCTATGCAATAAAAAAAAAAAAAAAAATTCCCATTCCCCTTGCTTCAGCAAGAAGGAAAATACAGTCTAGTGATTTCTAGGCTGAGAATCATACTTTAAGGTCTGCGTCAAATGAAAGTACATATTTAATGCTTGCTTAATTTTTTGTTGACCTAATGCTGTTGCAAAGTGCAACAAGAGTCTAAGATGATACCTGCACAGACTTGGTTACTTCTGAAGAAGTATTTGTGGTAAGAGAAAGTCTTTGGAAAAAGGGCTTCTAGGAAAAGTAATCAGATTTCTCTACAGCAATACAAGATTAAACTTTCCTTGCAATTGCTGAGGTYTCTTGTACTGTCAAATTGAGATTGGTGTAGAAAGTAAATAAAGCACCACAAGCAATCTAAGCACAAAAAAATAAATGCCTTTCCCCAAGAAACTTGTAACTGAGTTAAACGCCAAAAGAAGGGAGAGTTCCAGACAAACAAACGAGGAGAATATAAGGAAGCTCTGAGAATATAACCACACCTTTAATGAAAATGCAACTTCTGCAACAATTATRATCATATATGGTTGTAATAAATCCCATCTGCTCTTATCCAAGCAACTGCACTGCACAAATCCGTAGATTACCTACAAGAAAACATCTCCTTCACGCAAATGTGCCAGGKATGCCTCAGCACARTAATTCAAACCAACCTGGGAAGTGTAGTCCTGACCTCAGCTGCGAGCTCTTAAATACAAAAATCAAGGAAGACTAATCATGAGCACAATTTCAGAACCACACAGAGTTTACAGTTATCAAATTATTATGGGAAAATACACAGCAAATTTCAATCTCTACCGAGAGTTCAATTCTGAAATACCAAAGACAGCAGACAGGACTCCAAGAATGCTCAGGATATTTAAAATATTAAAAGGTACTTCAAGTAATTGCCCTGTCCACATGAGTTTTTTAGGGGTTTCTCAAAAATGACTGTATTCCACGAGCCCACAATTAATTTTTCTATGACAGGCAACTGAACAAGAAAAAGCTGTTTGCCTGAAGATGTCAAAACAAGTTTTAAGTAAAGATGCAAATGYCTAGAACTTGTGTATTACACATAGGTGAGACCCAAGCCCGAAGGTTCCTTATCACACTCTAATGTGTTGATGGCATCAGCAGTGCTTTGGGTGTTTTTATCTGAGATTCACAGGGAATAAAAGGTAGAGTGAAAGAACCATCTGAATGCCACTCTCTACATGTAAGAACTCATGGTATTTTACATTCACTACACTGCCTTTCTGGTTTCATTTCCCTTTTTTTTAAAAAGAGGGACTTTTTTTCCATCAAGCATTTTGATCCCATCCTATCTGCTTAAATACAATAAACTTCCCACTGGAAGGAGAGGGAGCCTTTYATTTGGTCGATCTTCATTAGCCTGTTCCTCTGGTTTGTAGCACCTACTACCTCTACGGGGTTTAAGACTTTCAGAAACAGAAAGAAACTTTGCATACAGCAAACACAACTAAGCTTGGAAAAACTGAGCCATGCCAAATTTTCTAGCAAAATTCTAAATTACATTAAATTAAACAAATTAAGCAGAAATAAACAACAGGAATACACACGGCAGAATGGAAGTGGTCCCAGACAAATGATCATGGTATCTCACCCGTGAGAAAAAAGCTAAGCAGTGTTACACTTTATTTGCAAAAAACGAGAAAAAACTAATCACAAGACAATCTCTAACTACTGAAGAAATAATCACTGCATAGCAATCAGAACATATGCTATGAAATATCACCCCAAGTACAGCCACACATTCCAGACTCGTTAAAAATTAYTGATTTTGAGTTTTTATAAAAGCACATGAATATACAGTGTCACTATAACATATGATATAAAAGAAACTGCCAAGTTAAGTAACAAAAGACCATGAGAGGAGAAGAAGGACCAACCTTTTCTTTTGTATTCCATATTTCAAAACCAAAGTTATTTTTATTAGAGGAAAAAGTTAAAAAACTTCTGAAAAAATATTTTTGACTTGACAGCTCCCATTGAAACAAAGTCTAACAACAGCTATTAAGAATATCAAAACATTCCAAAAGGGCTGACACTGAAGAAGCAACTAAGGAATCATCAAGGGTAAGCCTTCTGGGTAAATAAGGAGGGAAAAGAAACAGGAAAGAAAACAGGAAAGAAAAATTTTTCTCACCATGGAAGCTATATCTTACCCATCAATCTAACACACTATGAGAAACAAAGAAAACTCTCTTGGTTGGGTTCAGCTCATGCCACTATCAGGTGCATTTGTCCCCACCACACCTGTGCACAGCTCTGCCTCTTCTACAGGCTCAAGTTTAGTGAGACAACTCATCACTGTCATAAAACACTAAGTACAGAGAATGTGCACCACAGTACAAAATCTCACATTTGTCACATTAGCCTAATCATAGCACATTATCAAAAATAGGGACTGATTTCTTCACCAAATAAAAACTGAGCCTTCATAGTCTGAAATTAGAGAAATACAGAACATTAAATTTTTTTTCTAGGCTTACTGCACTCAGGTAATTCACGTGACAAGTCTGTACATGGAATGTTAGTATGGTTTAAGGAATTACCAAACACTTCTCACCAGTCAAGGTATGAGAGGCACAAATGAAAAGCACAAAAGGTTTCCATGTGTTAAAACAGCATTTATTATTTTTTAGAATTGCTTTATGTGGAGCAGAGTGATACAATGCCTTCTGGGTTTAAAGTAGTAAAAGCTATGAGAGGATAGAGACTCTTCCAAACTTCATACTAACTGTTGTGTTTCAAGCATTACGATTATTTAGAAACAACTGCATGCCCTCTGAAAAATGAAGAACCAATCCCACTTTCAAAAAGACTCTGAATAAAGCTCACCTGAGCCAGCATCATACAAAGCTGGGATAGTACTCAGTGCACCATCAACAGAAGAGTATGACCAAAGACCTTTTTCTGAACACCTGCATGAGTTGTTCTTTCATGTGACTGAAGCATAAGGTGAGTGAATACATTGACCAGATGTGTGGATGTTAGCCATTTTTCAACAAGAATATATAAAACCCTCTTGAATAAGGACTGTGGTGCACCAGATCCTTACAAAGACTCTTGCAGCCTACAAGTTTTTGCACACAGCAAAGTTTTGGATGAACTGATGTCTTAAAAACCAAACAAAGAGAAAAAAGATTACCTTGTTGGACCAGTATAAACCACTAAACACTTAAGCAAGTCTGAACAGACTTTTTCCTCTCAATAGTTTTGACTTCTCCATTAGTTTGGCCTTCTGKGTATATCACAGTAAGAACTGGTGAAAAAGAACCTTCATAATGACCTTTCTACACTGGTGTTCAGAAACAGAGTCAGCTGATAAAGCAACACTGAAAGGTTTCTTGGTAATAAGGTGATTTAAAACCAAGTATCAAAACAGTCAGAAAAGGAAAATAAGATTCTAAGTGCCTTTTGAGTAAGTAGGCCATGGCCTTTTTTAACAGAAGAAAATAGTATGGCAGTGCTTCAAGACCAAAACATCAGTTAAACAAGGAATCACCTGAGACTATAGCAGCATTCCATCTTCAAAAAAAGAATTCTTAGCTGATATCTCAGAGAATTTTTGGAAGTAAAAACAAGGGACCAAGAACAGAAGCAGAAAAGAGACTGCTTTTGCAACTCTTCAGATTCCTCTTATAAAGGTGAGCAAATGAACAGAGAAAAAATATTGTGTACCTCATGTGGAGAAAGGGTTCCTTCATCTTCCCGTCAAGACACCATACATAAGACATTTGCCTCCTTTAGAAGAAAGGAGAGAAACCAAACAGGCAGCTCTGAACAGACAAGTCCTGCTGAGGAAAGGTAAGCCAACAGAAAAAAGTCTCTCTAACCCTTCTCTAACATCAAGACTAACAAGTATTTAAGAGGCAGCACAGACAACTSTTTTCAAGGATGCCTGTGACAACATTTTTCTAGCCAGAGATGCTGTTAACCTATGTAGGCAGGACAGAAGGTATTCTTGCCTACAAATTAATAAGCAAGATCTTACAGAAACTTCATATTTTATAATGAAGAAGGGCGCCTCAATTCTCACTCGGACCACTCCTCAAGAAAAGTCATAAAGCACATACCCCTAAGTTTTACATTAGTATTTTAATTTGCATCTTCTTTAAGTTCTCTGTACAATTTTCTCTTTTTTTTTATTTTTAGTGCACCTATTTAAATAGGTCATTAAGTTAACATTTCTTGAGCTTTCCTCCATTCTACCGCCATCATAAAAAAGTAAAATCTACATCATAAAATAAAAAAGTAAAATGAAAGTTCACAGACTAATTGCCCCAAAGGCATTCCACTTAGGTTCTGAATTTGAAAGTCTTAAAGCTGCCTTCACCACACATCATTCTGTAAATAAGTTCTGCATTACAGTGCCAAATGCACTCATACTTCTAAAGTTAGGAGGTCTATTATTATTAGTTTGACCTATCACTGTTCCTTGAATTCGGATGTTTACTTTAGAGCTATAGAATGTATTCTCATTAGATCTGTAAAMCAAGGAACTGCACTTAGTCACAGTAGGTGACAGAATCATACAAAATATATTAATCGGCCATTTTGAATACAAACCATGACTGATTTTCCAAGGGGTTTTGAATGAACATTAGGAAGGAATGGATACTAAGTTAGACATAAMAATATACTTTTTAGCTGCACCTGCAAAAGGTAAGTCAGGAAAAAAACACCCAGTGTCCATGCTAGTACTGCTTATACCACCGAAGTGTGAATATCATAGCAATATAGTATTTGTTGGTGTACTATTTWTTACAGGACACATTTTGTTAAGTATTTCTTCTATCAGCTCTCCCTTCCTTTATATCTTTGATATAACTTAATCTCTTTTTGATAAGGAATACTTCAGCTGCATATACTGATCGCTTTTCCAAATGTCTTTCCTCACTATGTGCTTTGATCTGTTCTCTTTCTCCTTCCATTTCTATTTCCTCACCTCCTCACTAARGGCTTCTCACCTCATACACAATACTTTTCTTTACCATTTTACCATTCCCCAGATGACCACACTCCTGACCMTGCAACTGGAATTCCATCAAGACTTTCTAATATAAGGAAAACCAACAGGATCAATTCTCCTTACTTTAGCTGGAGTGTAAAAACAAGTGCAGCGCACATCCTTGGATCAGACTAAAAATAAAGATCAGACAAATGGCATCACCTTTTGTCTGTTCCATGCTTCTGGTTTCAGCTTCGTTTCCATATGAATAGTTACAGGGCCTGATCATACTACACATGGAACCTAAAGCATGCAGAGAAGAGTCTATGGCTATTTGAAGCAGGATGATACAGCAACCATGAATACTCAGTCTCTTTTACAAAATTTCTTCTTCCTATTGGAGGAAGAGCTCAGATCTACCACTCCAAAAGTCATGTTTTATACAGACATACTAATTATTGCCTATAAAAATTCCAACACCAAAACTATCATTACACAAATTAAATTTGATCTTATGAGATTGCATTAATTCCTATAAAACATCCAGATCTCTGAAGCTGTTATCAAAACAAGTCACCACAGTTTTAAAAACATGAAGTAATATAGAAAATTTTAGTGGGTCAGATACAAAACTGAAAAATACTAGGAAATAAAGTCCACTAAACTGTCCTATTTGTAGCATTTCACATCTTTAAGGAAAGCATAAAAGACAAAAAAATTACCTTACTTCAGCTGGTGGATTTTGTGAGTAAGGATTTGCAGAGCATGCCAAAATCCTGACTACAGCTCCAGGATGRTAGGTTTCCAGAATGTGCACTGCAGTGGGATAAACTGGTTCTTCAAAAGCGAGTTCCACATAGTCTTGGCTACAGAAGGTGGACGGTGTCCTCTTGAAAGGCAGCCGAGCGCTCGGGCAACGATCCCACCAGGTCCCGTAAGTTCGAAAGACRGCAGTCTGGGTAAAGTCACCAGAACTAGGGTACACGTTTGGAATACCTGCTAAATTCCACATGGTATACGACATGCTGTTCTCACTACCATAGTGAGAGCTGAAATCCAACACTTCTTTGGCATACTGAACTATTTCAACATTGATAGGTAAGGCTCGGGTGTTCGATTCAATTGCCCTCCGACTGTTCATTTCTCCTCTCGTCGCTGTCCTAGCTCGGCGCCGAAGGCACATGTAGTAAAACATGCTCAGAACTGTTAACATGGGAAAAACTGGTGGCATCTAGATAGGACTTAGGAAGATGCAAAAAGTCAGGAGTCCTTTATAAGGTGCATTAACTGCCTGTGGTGTTTTGAAAGAGCTGATAAAACAGAATGAATAAACATAGTGAGCAGATACAGCATTCTTAGAAAGCAAACCGTGCGCTTTTGAGCATCCTTTTAAACAAAGTACTGCTACTAAAATATTAATAAATTATTGTATTTTACTGTAAGACAATTGTTTAGTTGGAAGCTACTAAGTGTGGCTTCCCCATTTACTTTTCACCTTACTTTCTATTTATTTTTTGTTTAAGAAAAAACTATGAAGAAACATTAGCCAAAACCAGYCCTCAAGCAACAAAAAAACTAATGGTCAAAATAAGCACTATCTTCAGGGATTTATTAAGAGAAACAAAATTTGCACTGACTCAGGGAAATGAATACAAGTATAGAATGAAATTTGGCCCTTGCTGTAAACAACTGTGAAAGAGTATCTAAAGATACAACTTCCCATTCTGAAGACACCACTTCTTAAAACCACTGTGAATGGCTTTACTTAAAAAAAAACCAAAAAACATTGTAAATGGTTTTAAGAGTGAAAAGAACAAGCTTTTGGGCTGTTAATCTAAACTTAACCCATTGCTTCCTCTATCAGAGYTTTAATCTGAAACAGAGTCGCAAAAATACCGCTTTTACCATTTGACGTTGTCCATGACAGCACACACCAATGACGGAAGGGTCACCAGGCTCCTGAAGGATGCTCAGAATTCACTAACAACATCATCTTCCTTTAAGCCATGCAACAAACGAGGTCTTCAGAAGAGTCCTGGCATCAGAAGCAGAAGTCCCCATAGAAAGCATTTTACTTCTGACAAGAGAAAATATTTTCATTTAAGTAACAAATTAGTTAAACACAAAACGTAGTAGATCTGCATTCCTAAAAAGCCCAGCACAAAATAYATATTAAGGATACCAATGTGTTTTACACAGCCTACATCAACACAAGTAAAACAATCAAATAAGAAGGTTTAACAATTAGAAAGCACTAAATTAAGGTAAGTTATTTTACTAAAGTTTTCTGTTTACAACAGTGAAGAAACATTTATAGCTGAATGTTTTCTACAGGACACAGGAGGGTTGTATCATATTCCCTACTAATAAAGATCCTCTTACATATGCTTGTCCCATATTGAGCAGCTGCTCCATACCTGCGTKATGTAAACTGTGAGTTTTACCAACACAGCAAAATGTAGAGCAYATTCTCCGATTTCCACTGGCACTACACAACACACTTGGGCTATGAATTCACATACTCCAGCACCACAAACTGTTTCCCACAAACCGGCCTTCTGATTAACTTGTCCATCAGCTTTAGCAGGAGAGAGTCGGAGTAATGCCTGTAACCCATTAGAGGCCAAAACAGGAATGACTAAGCATGTCTCAAAATAGAATAAATGTTACTTCAACTGCCCGTGCTGGAGCTGCCGRTTAGTTTACCACAAGATACACACTGTGGTAATCTCTGAACAAACAGACGTGACTCTTGCAGAGACACCTCAAGTAACACCTAACACAATGCCTCACGGTGCCAGGCAGACAAACCACGCATTTAATGTCTGCAATGGGTACAAGTGAAATCACAAACTGCGTTTTTGGAAGCATAAGCTTAAAGTAGGGTAACTAATTAAACAAATGGMAATTTTTATAAGTCTCTATACAAATCCACAGAGTGTTTTTTTGGGGTCATTCCGTTTGTTCCCATACTCACAAACACACAGATGTACAAACAGCTGCTTTGCCCAAAGGTTTCCACCAAGAGAGCACTTGTGGTAACAGATAAGGAAGGGCTGTACTATYTGTCCCTCTTAAAACAGAGAGGAAGTTTACTAATGAAGTGCTCAATTSTCRCTTTCTTGCCTCTTCTRTTATTGGCTTTTTGTTTAGTTTCAYATGTTGATGTAGCTGTCAACAACTCCTGATATTCAGTCCAGAAGGGAATGCATAATACAATATGTTGGATTTACTTCAAGCTCCCCTGGAATGCCAACAGCCAATAATGTTACACTTCCCCCAAACAACCTGAGGCACCTTTTAGAAAAGACACTCGAAAAAYAGAAGCACCACCCGGAATCTCTCATCTTTAAAACAAAACAAAAAACTAAACAACAAAAAACAAACAAACAAACAAAACCCCAAAACAAAACACATCAAAAAAAAACCCTTCAAACTGAAAATTGTTATTTTAGAAAGAAGTACTAATAGAAAAATCTATTTAAAGAATATGCAGACAGTAAACTTTAACAAACGTACTGCTTTCAGCCCCTGGAATCATGGGTAGATCAGCACACACACCACCTTCAAACTCGAAATTTTACTGATTAACATGATTWGAAGGCTGCTTCATGGAAATTAGGGCCTTACAGATCTCAATTTTAGGAACTGTTCAGCTGTGGCATTTCAAGATCAGGTGGGACTCACTTATCTGCATGCACAACCTACACAACTTCACATCTGCAGACTCCAGGCTTCCCCTGGCCACTGCCTGGAGCTTTTGTGATGCTGCTGTAAAATCCAGATGTACTCTTTATCCAAGCTTGTCCAAGAGCAGCAAAACCATCCAGTGGTTCAAGAGCTGTACATCAGCTATACATCTGGCMAGTTTACGCCAGGTTTTACAGAGGGGATAACCAGAAATTATGCTGCAGATTTTTTATTAGCACTAATGTTAATTTGGGTCATTCTCCTTCTAGCAACTTGGTGATTTCATAAAACCTGTAAAAATTTGATATCCTTGACACTGACAYAACTTTATCGATTTTGGCTGGCATTGGTCAACAGGGTCAAAAGTAAGTGAGTAGAAACAGRAAGCTTTCATTAAAACATATTAGTCAAAACAATACAAGTGGAGGAAAATTAGTTTTAAAGAGTTAAGAATATTAGATTTATTAGTTTATAACGAGTAAGACAAAACAGAAAACTATTATAAAACAAGGRTTAAATAAGAGTTAGGACTACAATACAAATAGGAATACTTCTTCTGGCATTTTAAAAGAAGCATTAAGAACTGTGCAGAGTTAAAAGACCAATGAAAAATTGTTCCAGAGGTTAAAGGATAATAAGCTAGTGAAAGAATTACATTAAACATAGATCAGTAGGGTCAGACGATACAAAGAGATTTTTTCAGGAACTACTAGAAGTCAAGCTGATTTTTAATTAAAAGGATTTCACTTTGCAAAAAAAAAAGATAAAAATGCAGACTCGGGTCTGTGCAAAGCATCAAGATAAACAGCTCTGGAGTTCATGTACATGCAAAGTTTATGTCAAAAACTCCCCCCTCCCTCAAATTGCTTATTTTAAAGAGATCCACTTAGGCCCATGCAATTTTGCCTTCCGATCTCTGGCTGTGTCTTTGGCCTGTTGTATACTATTATTTTTATTTTTTTTTTGTACAGGCATAATTATTCCAAACTAAAGCTTAATAAAGGTTTCTTTTAAGTGTATCTTTTTACCCTCCTACCAAGCAGCACTCTTCTAAACATTTTTTTTTCTTTCATATAGTATTTTTTTTCTGTCAATTCCATTAAACGGACTGCAATAGTGCTATTTGATACCAAAACCTTCAGCAGCCACCAGAGACTAGCACAGAAGGCGCCAACAATTTGGTTAGAAACAATAAACAATATGTTATGAACATACAGTGACACTGGGGGCTATTGTCCTATGCCTACATGCCCATTTTGCMCTTTGAGGCTGGATCCAATTCCAGCCTCTCTCTAGGGCTGCATGAGCCCTGCCCTCCCATCTGATGCACCCTATGGCCCCATCCCTCTCTGCTTCACACACCCCAAGTCASACCAGTTCAAAGGGCTACAGAAAGGTTATCTCTACTTTCACAAGACAGACAGGACTCCAGAAAACCCCTTTGGACTAGACCTSGAATAAAACTTTTTAAAGAGGTATTTTCTTTCAAAATACATTAGAGTCCATCATATTATTTACAATACCTCCTACCCAGACTATTATTTAATTGACAACTATTTCAGTTATATGGGCAAAYTCCCTCTTTCTATTCTGAATAACCYTTCTTCTYTTCATACTATACATACAGAAAGACCTCTAAGACTGTAATTCTCTATTTCCTTCCTCCAAGCATAGCAAACCTTGATAAAGTAAAACATCTTACAGTTTCTGTARAGATTTCAYGGGAAAAGACACTAAGTTAAAGCAYTCAAAAGCACTAGATCTCTTCAGTCTATTTTGCCTCTTTTTACAGGGAGTTTTTGTATACAAATCTATTTTCCAGCTTTGAACCCATCCAATTAATGATTACTGTACTTGAGAAACAGGCATGAAGCTGAGTCAGGGCAGGTTTAGGTTGGACMTGAGGAAAATGGTTTTCACCCAGAGGGTGGCTGGGCACTGGAACAGGCTCCCCAGGGAAGTGGTGACAGCACCAATCCTATCCAATTTCAAGAAGCATTTGGACAATGCTCTCAGGTACGTGGTGTCACTGTTGGGGTGCCCTGCGCAGGGCCAGCAGTTGGACTTGATGATCCTGACCGGTCCCTTCCAACTCAGGATATTCATTTTGGTTGGTTTGGCAAATGCAACTCCTCAATATGTTTTTATCCCATATGAGCAGAAACRGGACAGAGTTATTCACCAACCAGACTGCCGGGAAAAGGTGGGAAATACACAGAAAAATACTTGAGATTTCAAGGGGCTGTGAAATGAAGGATGTGTGTGAAAACATAACAAGTAACAGATACTAGATTTAGAAAAAAAAAAAAAAAGAAATATGKCACATTTCATCCCTGAGCCATCCCTGGAAAAGCACATGATAGGCAAGAGTTCATACTATTTCAAGGGAAGCAAATGTTGCACATACAAGTCATGCATACTCCAGGTTTGGTTTTTAAAGCCAGTGAGGTAACAATTCCTATTTACATCAGCTTTGCTAATCTCACACTTGGGAGCACTGAGCAGTTTTCTTTCATTTGACTATAAAAGAAACAGCAACACTGACAAATTACAAAGAATGTAMAAATGACAAAAACAATGGATTCTACGATCKCTGAAGAAAGCTTAATGCAATTTGATATGTGTGCCTTAGATAAAAG